CTAGAAACGCGTCGGTAATTATTCTGATACATTTTTAACCCTTTGCACTCGAGAGGCGCTTTTCAGTTGATTTGACCGAACGAAATGATAAAACTTAAAATTCAATATTAAATTTTCTATAATATTTCAACACATGGAACATCCAAATAAAGTACTCCTGTTCCTTAACTTATGCAAGATATTTTTTCATATTAGTTGCAAAAAATATCATTGATGTTTGGTCAGAAAATAATGAATATTTGTTGAGAAAAATAATTAATACATTTTTAATCATCGATAGAACCAAAATTTCTAACTTACGGAGGAGAATAAGGAATTCGATTTTGTCAATTTTACTTTGGATTTGTGTTATATATATCTGAAATGTTACATGAACGTAGGATTAGCAATTAACACGTTGACTGCCACGAAATCAGCGTTTTATATATTACGTATCCTTTCTATAGCAAAAATACAAAGCAAGAATTATTAATTCTTTGATGTGAACATTCTTATATTACCGTATTATCTAATTATGTACATTACGTAGAATTTGTATTCGAAATCAATTATCTTCCAAGTCATAATTATTTTCTTGTAATTTGAAAGCTCCGATCATCGGTGACCGTCGTGGCAGTCAAAGTGTTAAACGATAGACTAAAAATCCCGCATTATCGCGGGGCCGGTGCGCAATGTGTTAACACATTGTTGCCCAGCAATGTTAAACAATAGGTATCCCATGTCACCGGTTATCATTCCGTAATTGAATATAAAAGTGGAACAATCTAAATAAAGTTCAATATACTTCGTTTATACGTAATGAATTGAAATTAAATTTCGGACATACGTTTCAGATGACTTCGAATATTTTGCTTTTGCAACATTCTATATTGCCCTGCGTTTCAACAATTGAAATAGCTGATGCAAGTGCAAACACGAGTTGACTCGTGACTGGTCAACAACGTTTAGACATGAAAGCACGTGTTAACTCGTGATCGGTCAACAATGTGTTAACACATTGCATACGGGAAACGGGAAATCTCGTTTCTATTTAAACCTACCTTCGTAACAATTTCTAACTACCACGCCGTTTAAAAAGGTATTATAGTATATGGTGGTGGTTTACTATTAGATGATATTTGAAAATGTGGATCTTTAGTAAAAAGAGAATTAGGAAAACAATAATATATTTAATAAGATAAAGGAAACAATACGGACAACACGTAAAATACAACACACGACTCTCGCACCAAAAATGTTCTACTCCGCTGTCGCTCACCAAAATGTCCTTCTCCACTGTCGCTCACCAAAATGTCCTCCTCCACTGTCGCTCACCAAAATGTCTTCATGCACGCATTTCCACTCTGTCTTTCTCACCCTTGCACCCTTCTCACTCGCATCTTCCGTCCATAGTCAAAACTCACGCAGTCACGTACACACTTTTCTCACGGTTCAGTCGCTCAGTTCCAGATACTCTTCCTCGCATTCTTTCAGCCACTCGAAATTGTCTAAACGCAGTCACACTATTTCCCAAACATCCCGGCGCCGGTCCGTCGCAATACGACCTGGTCGCCCTCACGCACGCACAACAAACCATTCATCCTACAATAAATATTCTCGATACTACAGTATTAAATGTTATTAGAACTGATTACTTGTTTAATACTTATGAGAAAGTAATAAGATATTTGAATATTTTGCATACAGTAATATGTCACGAACTTATAGGTTGATCTCATTGAAAAATCGGCCATTTTTCTAAGAATTAAATTGTACGCAATGTTAACTATGGAATTCAGTTTAGAAAATGTATCGCTTTGGAATTAATTAATAACATGAAGCTTATATTCAAACGCAGGATGAATGCAGTTAGGTTATGAACAGTTTATTTTGAAAGCGGCATAAGTCCACTTAACAAACAAAAGAACTATCAAAGAATAAAAAGATTATATGCAATTGTAACTAATTAAATAGCAACTGCGACTAATTTTTATGGTATCTCTAGTGAAAAGGAAAAATGCTATAACATCCCTTCGATCTTTTAATTTTCTTGTCAGTAGAAAATTTGGATGTGTGGAGAATCTAATAATTTTAAGGTACTTTCCTTGATTCGTTAAAATATTTGATATTATAACTTGTGCAATATTGGAACCTACAGAGTTCAAAGGGTTAATAAGTGTCCGTTTATGCACTCAACCCACTCTACTTTATACAAAGTTATATACAAGACATGCCGAAAGTTCCGTTTCAATTCATTATTTATAAATAAAGTATGTTGAAGTTTATTTAGATTGTTTCACTTTCATACTTGATTACAGAATAATAAACGGTGACATGAGATGGCTTTTGTGTAAAATTGCCGGTCAACAATGCGTTAAACGAGGCGCGAATGTAACTTCGGATGCGGGGGAAAAGGGGTAGCCAGCAGCCGCTCTAATTACTCTACACTCGAAGCGGTTCGGTGCATCCCGCGCGGCCACCATCGATATCGTTCGCCGTTTCTCATTTTCTTGAAAACACCGGAACCGGGGTGTCGTTGAAGCGGAACCCGCCCGACCCGACCTGACCTGACCGCTTCGATTCAAGGTGGGCGGCTCGGTTTCGCTGCAAACGAAGTGTGCCCGTTCAACTTCGACAGAACTTCCCGTTGAACTTGGCGAACGAATTTTCGCGGACGGCGTGGACGGTCTCCGCGTCAGCCAATTCGCGGGCACGTCGATACCTTTTTAATGGAATTCAGAACCGTGTCGGCCATCTTGAATACATTCGACGCCGGGACTTAATGGGGGCGAGTTTCTCTTCTTTAACTTGGAATTCGTTTAGGAGGAAAACGGCGTAACGGCTCGAAGAAAAAAGTTCCTCGCGTAATTACTGCCTCGGATAAGATTGTCTGTAAGCGCAGCGGAAGGGAATGAAGCTCTAATTAACACGGAATTTACTGTGTACGCTTACTCACGGTCGGTCGTAAGAATTCGCATTAACAGTTCTTACCGAAGGCGTTAGAAGACAAATTTTCGCTTAAAATGATTTTCTCAGTTTAACACTATTTCTACCGAAGGTGAACACATGAAATTCCAACTGAAACGTGTTCTCTCAGTTTAGTCATTCTTCCTCAATTGAGTTTTGGATGTTTCTTACAGTTAATGTTATGATTGCTTTCGGAATAATCGAAAATTCAATTAAAACACGAGTAAATTAGGAGAATAATTTCCAGTTAAAATTTCAGGTTAAATTTTCGACATTTCCTATAGTCAATTTTATAATTATTATTGGAAAAGTCGACAAGTCGATTCTGAGTATACGACTAAACTAGGAAAAGAATTTTAACTGAAAATTTCGAAGGTCTTCTGACAGCTCGGTAGAAATAATGTGAAACATGGAGCGTGAATGAAGATTTTAATGTTAACGCGAGTCGATATAATTTATATAATTGTGTTTTTCAGTTCTCGGAAAGGTTTCGCGACACTTTATTCAGTCAATTGAATATTTATGTTATCGATATCGATTATTGTTAATTGTTAGTGATTGTAATCTTATTCTGAGCTGCTGATGTATCTATCGCAGTTTATACGTTGCTAATATTCGATGGACACTGGGTGCTAAGAGATATTTATATCATAAGAATAAATTTGCAGATCGTCTGTATTCATCTTCGGTGAATGTTTTATACAGAAATGATAATAGAATTTGCAGCAGAACGTTCCACGAGAAATACATTCCACGTGACATCTGAAATTTTCCTAGACACCACAGCGAGATTTCCGTTATATTCGTCCGCGCGACACGAATCTGTTGAAATGTGGGTGCCAGAATTGGATTTCGGATTTCCTGCACGTGGGGAAACATCTTGATAAAAATTTAACAAGATTCCTGCGTCGTATGTCGCTCCTGGAAACCTTTAAGCGGATGTTTCCCTTCGATTTTGATTTTTCGAAGGGATCTCGACAGAGCCTGTGTATTAAAGTATTCCTGTAGAAAATCTTGTAAGTGCTATTGGAAAGTCTTATTTTCTTATTGACAATTGTCACAAATAGTGTTAGAAATTATTTCAACAATTATTAATGATTTAGTATAATAATACTCGTATTACACTATTATAGCTACTCGTTACTAAATATTTCCATTCGACGAGAATTTTCTTATCGTAATCCTTCTCAAGCAATTTAGAACCTCGAATCATCGGCCACCGTGACAGTCAACGCGTTGAAGAATGTATTTGCCTTAAAAACATTAATAATCACTCATAGAATTCTCTACAAGCTCCCGTCACGAACAAATCCGTCGTCCATTTCTACTCACACAACAAAAATTGAAGGTTACCAGTGTTACTAAGTAGTCTCTACTATACAAAATGATTTTCCCTTCAAAAATAAAAATTTCGTGCAAACTAATTCAGTTCCTCTATTTAGGTAACATTGGAACTGAAAAATATCCATTGTCGTCGAAAGAACTTCACAATATCCCCGTAACGTAAAAAAATATAACCACCATATGATTAGCTCTATACAGAATGATCTTGACTTCGGAAATCAACATTCTGTGCAAATCAATTCAGTTTCTCTATTTAGATAACATTGGAACCGAAACGTAATATGTCCATTGTCACTGAAAAAACTTCACAAAATCCCCATAGTGTAAACAAAAATATAACCACCATATATTTACCTCTATACCTCACAACTTTTGTCTGAAGCATTTCTTCGTATCACTCATACTGTCCAAGTCATCGAGTTTTCCCCAGAAAATGGCCGCACCGTGCGAAAGCTGCGTTAACACTGAACCTACCGCACGTTCTTGCATTTATTAAAAGATGACAAATATTTCTCTAAGAAATTACCCAAGAAATGAATTTACCAATACACAAACTGAATCGTAAATCAATTGAAGTCCCGATAGACGCTCCCTCGAAGTTGCCATAGTGAAATTTCGAAAAGCCAATCGAACTGCTCGGTGGGTTCAGTGTTAAAGGCCACCCCTCCAGCGGAGCTCACCACGAGAAAATCTTATTCTGTCTGTTTCAGACGAAAGCTCACCTTGACGTATTGGCAGATGCCATTTTGCGATGGGCAAGAGGACGCTAATTCCTTTGTTGACGATGAACCTCTGACCTATGTATAAAATCATAAGTCTGATGAGTTTACTTCTTTATACATTCACCTATATATATACATATATATATGTACAGATATATATACACACAAAAAGAACGAGAGAGACAGAGAGAGAAAGAAAGAAAGAAAGAAAGAAAGAGAGCGAGAGGTGGTGTATGTATATGTGTAGATACGTATACATATATACATATAAATATAAATTATAAATACAATATATAATATATTCCCGGGTGTGTGTACGGGGTCGCGAACACACCCTCGCGCGCCCCGCACGCGTACAACGTGATCCCTATATATGAAGAAAAGAGAGAGGCAAAAAAAAAGGAAAACCCGTTCCACAGCTGGCGAGTGTTCTTCTTGCAAGTGACGGACGCGGTAGACGGGGGAAGAAGCGGCGAGCTTTCGCGTTCTCATTGTTTACGGGGAAATTTCATTTACGCCGTTCCAGAAGTTCCTCGGAAGGCGTTCGAAGTTTGAGATTCAGAGCGCGGCAGGCGCGTCGAGTTGGGAATATCTTGTTCGTACTTTACAGCTATCACCGGAGCCACGTTAAATTCGTTAGATCCGCGGGGATGAATCTGCTACGTTCAACCGGCGCGATTACGCGGTTCAGTGTGCCGTTTCGCACCACCAGACTGGTTTCTCCTTTCCGCGATTATCGAAGGAAGATCGTCGGATCGACGAATTATTGGAAGATCATCGAACTTTATGGTTATCGAATTAAGCATTGGAAGATCGTTGAATTTCGTGACTATCGAAGCAAGATCGTTGGAGAGATAACGGATGATTCTCCGAGAAGTTACCGGGAAATTGATTTAGCTTCTAGATTCGATTTAGATGTTTTATTTAGATTCTATTTAGACTGATTTAGATTCGAATAGAGATTTCGATAGACTCTCGGGGATCCCATAGGAGAATTCCGGAAAGTCTACTTGATTGTTGGGTAGTTCTCTAGTGGTAACGTACTGTAAGATCACTCGATGGCTAGGCTGAGGGACGTCGGTCTAATTAGTTCTCGTTTCTCTTATAATAATTTGCTATTTGTCAATACGGTTGCGTAACCAATAGAAACTATAAGAAAGCTATAAACAGCGAAGGACGCTGTCGCTAGATATCGAGTGATGCCGTGTCGTCCCGCTAGACTTCAAGTAATCTCCCAAGTGTACCTACGGGATTCAATGATAACGTGGATTCCTCGGAAACGTTGACGAACGTCTGCTGCCCTGCTCGCGGGACTTTCCTTTGAAATCTTCGTTTCTAACTTTGAACTTTCGGGATCGCGAAGCTTCCTTATCCTCCAGATACCTTTGAATCCTAAGACGCTTCGAACTCGCCTTGCTCGCCGGTTCTTTCCGTAATGGAGTCAAAGGAACGCGTCCCCCGCGTTCAAGTCCCTTCGCTCTTCGAATACGCGTTCACCGCCGAAACGTTTCGTTCTTTGAGAAGATTATTCTAATTTCATACATGGAAGTTCGGGATTGAAAATCTACCCGGCGGACGGCGGTCTGAATACCGAGGACGCCGGCGGAAGATTAAAACCGAAGGGAAATGGAACGTCTTGTCTGGGAACGACGTGAACCTCTTGGAAATTTCAAACTGATCCCCGTATTTCCGAACTTGCTGGTACTGCGTCACCACTGAACACTTTATCCACCGTTACTGATCAAGCCGACCACTCACTAATGACATACTAATAAGGTTTCCGTCGTCGTGGGAGTGTACGTTTTCACTTACAAAGCTTTGTGACTTTAAAATCAAAGTATTAGGGAATCTCGTAATCCTGTGGTTTCTTTAAACTAGAGTGATTTTAACAGAGCGAATTTAATCAGTGCATTTTGCCCTTTTCCGTTCTTCGTTACATTGCTGACATTACAAAGTTTCTCGAGTAGACGTTCCATTTCTCTTAACGAAATTCAACCTTTAAGTATGGAAGTGAAAATGACCGATTAATGGTGAATATTCTCGTTTGCAGCGAGCAATGAACAAATTCATTGTATTCACTCGTTTCCGCTTATTTGAATATCTCAGCATAGAAATATCATCAAGTGTGTAACGAAAATTCCACTGGTTTCGAAGTGTACGATATTTTATATAGAGGTCTACCGGACCGAACGTCCATACTTAATGGTTAAGCATTCCTGTCTGATCAGTTCTCCACGGCTTGCAAGAAGAAGGCTGGTTTATGAAGAAGACGAACACCCTGCTCGCATTCTCCCCTATTCTCCCGCATCGTCTATTTTGCAGAAAGTTTTCCCTTCCTCCCGCATAACATTAAACACATAGTAAGAGAGAGAGAGAGAGAGAGAGAGAGAGAGAGAGAGAGAGAG